GACTAAGCTAAAGGTAATCCTTCAGGACGCCAAGTGACATAAGAAGAAGAAGGTATTAAAACTGGTAAGTTTTTGCCGAATTTTTTGTGCATGATTGTTGTGGTAAAATTGTTGTCAGATTTGTGGTTTTATTTGATTTTTTTTATTTTTTGATCATATTTTGAACTAAGAACTGCGCAACAAAACGTATTTGATTGACGTTTTTGTTATATTGTTGCATAATTCACCTGCCTTTGATGTTTTCCTCTAAAAAAGCATCCTCTCCTACACTTATCATCATATTTATCAGCGGCCATTAAGTGTATGAATGTCCGTTTTAATTTTTCTTTTTGTTTTAGTGTTCTAGTGAGATTAATTATTATTTAAATGAGAGCATAATCTTCCAGTGCCAGAAAAAAGTTCAGTGTCGGACTGACTTGTAATGACTCTTTAAACGATCATTCAAAATATTACGATCCAAATACTGAAAATGATTTGGACCAAATCTTTAAACCAAATTGGAAACAATAGGCAGACATATTAAAAAAGCTGAACTTAAAAATATCTTTCAAGATAATTTCCATAAAAAACATAGGTTTTTGCATGATTGGATTGCATCTTCTAACTGTACTAAGTAAAATTCTTAGATTTTTTAAAATAATAGCCTCAAATCTAAATGGGTTTTAAAAGAAATACTTACAATACGAATTAACCTGGAAATATTTTTTAAAAAATGCAAGCGGCAATGAGTGTGACATATATGAACGTCATGGAGTCAAGAATGAAATATGTCAAATGTCAAACTTTTACTTTAGTTAGATATTATTAGAAAAACCATTTTTAAACTCACTTATTTTAAACAACCAAAAAGAAGATTATATACATGGAAAGCACCTGGCGATAATCAAAACCGCATAATAAGAAACCTGATTGATTATATATTAATTGACAAACGTTATAGAAATGGAATCAGGGGAGTTAAAACATATCCCTGGCGGACATCGGTTCCGACCACAATCCTGTTGTTGGTAAAATTTCAATTAAACTAAAGGAAATCAAATACAGGGAGAAGATAAAACCTAGTCTCGAAAAACTTAAAGATCCAATAGTACAGTCAGAAATAGAGAAAACACTCAATAATACACTCAAAGAAAAGTTCAGTGAAGCACCCACGGAAGCAGAAGAAACAATAGAAAGTATTTGGCACACGTTCAAAACAACAATCACAACTATACAAAGAGAACAACTACAAGACAACATCAGAAAAACAAAGAATACATGGATGACAGAAGAAGTCCTAGAACTGATGGACGTAAGGAGATCTTACAAAAATCGCAATGAAAAAAATATAAAGAAACCCAGAGAATCATCCGAAACAAAATCAGGAATACCAAAGAAGAATGGATGAGCAGCAACTGTGAGGAACTGGGAGATTTACTAAAAAATTACTTTAATGCATACAAAAAGATTAATTAAGTCACAAATATTAAGAAAAAAATCACTACACCAACTGTAATAGATGATAACAACCAAATAGTATCTAGTCCAGAAAATGTAGGAGATATGTGGGAAAAATACATCAAAGATCTGTTTGATGACGAGAGAACACAATCACAAATGAATATAGTACAAAAAACAATACTGATATATTAACATCGGAAGATACAAAAACAATCAATACGGCAAAGCCACTAAAAGCCTCAGATCCAGATGAAATATACGTAGTGATGATAAAGCTTATCAATGAAGAAAATCTTCAGACGTTAACACTATTATTTAACAAAATATATACCACTGGAATCTTCCTAGAAGACTGGCTTAGATCGAAATTTATACCTATACCCAAGAAAAATAAAGCAAATAGACCAAACCACATGGTCAAACCACCTATCGCTTCCTAAAGCCGGCCACTCACTCAAAATTAAGCCATGTCGATTTCTATAATATGATCAAAGCAAATGTTTAGTTAAAAATGTATTTTTGCATTATCGACAAATTTTAAACGGTCACACACGCTCAACAAATTGATGAGATCAACTCTGTAGTACTGCAGCACGATTTCATTGGATACACGGTCACACACGATCAAAATTCTTGTCAATTCGTCGAACTCGACGAAGTTGAACAACGCCGCTGTATCGTGAGTGGCCGGCTTTAGGCAAGCCCATCTTTCGTTTATCTAAGCAGTCAGATGGATATTTTGAGCGGTGTTGCCAATCTCATTCCTCTAGATGTTTCTCAAATAGGGTGTTAACCATAAAATATTTACAGGAAAGAAAGGAAATAACTACAAACCATTAAGTTTATTTTTGTTATTAGTCTGTTGTAGTAGATTGGTAAAAACTTAAAGATACGAAGAAGATATAACTCTCAAAAAGATCATCAAATTGGATTATTACACGGCGATTGGCAACATTGACTTTGGACGGCATTATAGACTATGGTGCCTCCTAAAAGGAGACAATATAGTAGACGAGATAGTAGAATGATATTTCATACAATGTCTATCACCGGGTATGGATTTACTTTTGTCCAAGTTTTATATTGGTCCACTATTTCAAATGCAGTTCAAACAGACATATATTAAATTGTATGATCCGTTTTAAATTCGTTCAATCTGTATATTCAGAAAAGATCTTTCAAAATGCTCTCGAAAATATTGAAGAAGGAATAAAAATCAACGGAGAATACTTAATTAACTTAAGATACGCAGAGGACACCGTCAGGAAGAAGAAAATGGACACACATTCGATATTAAGAACAGCTCAATTTGCTGTAGCTATAGCCAACCTTCAGTAATGGAGAAGGCACTTTAAGAAGAAGAAACTCACTCAGATTTCAGGGTTAGACCATTTTTTGCAATGTCAAGCTTTTAACTCCCTCCCTGGAGTCTTCATCAGGCCATATATATTGTAATTATTTATCTACTTTTAGAATGCGACAATTATGTTTTGGAGTGCAGTTTTTAAGACATGCTTTTATTTAATTTATAGTATGTTAGTAAGGTAATGGACATGGTGTAAAGAATTGGTCAGGGGGAGGTAAATAGTATATGAACTACTATTACCAGTATTTGAAATATTGTTTGTGGTTAATTCAACAGTTCGTTGTACAAAATTATATTTACTGTGCCCTGCATAAATCATAAACGATATTTTAAATATATAAAATTTCAAAACACCTTTCGAAATTATTTTATTTGGTGCATGAGCGTGTTTCCACGGTATAGCTTTTTAACATTCATTCATTTAACACAAAGATGACAACAAATTAATTTGATAAAAATTTCATTTGACTTGATGAAAAGTGAATATCAAATATTGTTGATTCATTTAAAAAGGATTGATCTTTTTTCTTGTCCTAGTGTTTTCGAAAATTTACAACTTTCTCACCACCTTATGTATAGATGTTCGATTGATAAAATTTCCTTTCTCATCATTTTTTCTTTTTGAAAAAAATTCAAATTGTTTAAATTTTAAAGAAGTTAAATGGGTGGTATTATTATATAAAAAATATTAAAAATTCAGTAATAATTAAACATACAATTTCATTAACCCACGTACACTAATAACGCGCTTTAAGAAGTATTTCTATCTTTCGCATGTTATTTGTGACTCTTTATTTAAATATATGTAGTAATTTTCTCCCTATTTCGTAGTCTCTTTCTGTATATGACCAAAATACTGTACGAGGGTGGATTGATATAAAACTAGCCTTTGATATAAAAAACAAGTTTTTTTGGAATTAAATCGATTTATTTGTCAACATAGTCCCCTTTTAGCTCAATACACTTAGTAAGACGATATTCCAGTTTTTTTATCCCATCCGAATAGTACTTTTACTCGAGCTCTTCAAAATAGGCCGAAGTTTCAGAGACTTCATCATTTTTTTGCTTTCCAAACCGGGGGCGTTTTCGACGCAATTCAGCATCGAATCGATCCAATAATTCTGCGTAGTACTCACCATTGATTGTTTTTCTTTTTTCCAAGTAGTCGATGTGGATGCCCTTCGCATCCCAGAACAGTCGCCATCACTTTGCCCGCCGAATGTGCACTCTTTGCCTTCTTCGGTAGCCCTTTGCCGCGTTTGCGCCACTGTTTCGACTGTTCTGTGGTTTCCGGTCTGTAATAATGCACCCAGATTTCATCAACAGTGATAAATCGGCTAAAAATTCTTCGCATCGCGCTGTATTATCGCCAAAAGCGTCTCCGAAGTGGTCACACGTTTTTGCATTTGATCGGTTATCAGCAAACGCGCCACCCATCGCGCGGATAGCTTTTTCATGTCCAAATTATGGAGAATAGTGTTGTGTACGCGTTCGTAGGAAATGTTTAGGACCTCTATTAACTCTTAGGAGCTTATTTAGACGATCTGCCATAATCATGTCACAGATTTTATTGATCATTTCCGGCGTGGTGACTTCATTTGGCCTCCCGGGACGCTCATCATCAAAAACACTCGTATGACCACGAACAAATTCAGCTATCCAAAATTTTACTGTTGCTAACGAAGGTGAACCTCACCATAAACTTCGTTCATGTCGGCTTTGATTTGCACATTCGTTTTACCCTTTTTGTGGAGGAACTTAATCACCGAACGATACTAGACTTTTTCCATTTCTTCGAAAACACAAAAGTAGCTTGCTTTTTACGACTATAAAAACCAAACTAATTGTTTTTAAAACTTAAAATGTTGACAGACGTCATGTCATGAATGGCAAATGTCAAACACCAAAACCAATTCGGTATCAAGTAGCGCCATCTATCACAGGCTAGTTTAATATCAATATATCCTCGTATTCTTTCTTATTTTATATCTTATACTGTTATAATCTTTTTCTTAACATATTCGCTGAAAGTTTTCGAGGATTATTCTTGAATACATTTCTTCTATAAACACTTACCACCGCAGTTATCTTCTAAATAGTCTGATCTCGATATTTGTCGCTTTTCTTTTCTATTTGTCTCGATATATTTATAAGTTGTTATTAAAAATTAATTCATAAATTTATTTTTTTGCAGATTGTTCTCCCAACTACGTGCTGTACAAAGGCTTTTGTATAAACAGCTGCCAGGAAAAATTCTACAACACGATTTTAGATTTCGACACCCCAGAAGAAATAAAGCGATACCTTAAAAACCAAACCTGCTCACCTTGTCATTACACATGTAAATCCTGCAAAAGCTCATTAGACACTGGTTGTTTAGAATGTTACAGCGACGCTGAGCTTGTGATATCGTCATCAACAGAATCATATTGTTATCCCATCCATATCGTCTCGGAAGTACTTTCAGAAAAGTGGTACTATAGAATGTTTATAGTCAGCATCATAATGCTTGCATGTAGCATTCCTGTGGCTATTTACCTTTGCATTAAGAGAAGAAAAATAAGCCATTATAGAGACAATGTATCTTACGACGTCGTACATGATATTAGAAGAATGGAAAAAAATGTTAAATCGACTGTTTACAGCGATGACAGTGAGTGACAAATATAATAAAGACATTGAATATTCTTGTAAACAAGAATTTTAACATTATATTATCACAGCAACTTATAGACAGCTTAATATTTTCGTCAATGCCAATTTTAGTTCTACGTAATTCTCCTGCTACCAAATAGACTATTTTTATCGAAACTTCCTTCAATAGAAATAGTCTAATTGTAATTGCGGTTGATCATTTCTATAGCCAAACATTTTTTTAATGATTTAATTGTTGTGACAATATATATTACACAACGTACTATCATGGCTGTTCTGTAAATTCTTAGTAGAGGGAACGCAAAAATAATTTAAGTTAAAATATTGCTTATATAAAAAATATTCAGTAGGGGAAGTGATCCACATTTAGCTTATTAACCTTTAGAAACCAAACATAAATAAACTTCAAGGGCTAATCGGAAACTGGTATTTTATTAGACTGTAGTTTATTGGACACTTGTTTTAAGAGTTAAAAATCAATATTTAAATAATAATTTAACCATTTTGAGTTTTTATTTTCTTTTGACAAATAGCTGAAACTACCCTATGGGAGGAGTAGTTTCAGTTATAAAGGGGGGGCAATGTTTTTTTACTACTGAAATGTCGTCGATCGTAGGAAACAAGAAACTGTTTGTGTTACAATTACGACGTAGAAGTTTAATTACGTATTCCTCATCCTTTTTTTATTTAATTAGATGGCTTTGATAAAGACCAATTAGCCAGATTCCTCATCCTGGAAAGAAGTTATTTGACCCACATAAAAAATTTCTGCCTTGAAAACTATAAATTTCACCAAGACAAAATTTCCCAAATTAATATGTTAATTCTTAGAGATGTTTAAAGGTTTGGCTTTCAGCTGAAGTAGCATCATACGTTCGTTAAAGGGAATGAAATTTGTCACTAACTCTTTTAAATTATTGTTGTTAATAATACCAACACCATGGCTGTGTTTTCCAGTGCTTTTGTCTGAGTAGAAAATAGTATTATTATCCTTGGTTTAGCTTCCAGAATTTGGCCATCGAACTTGTAAAGGGCCCAATACTTGTATGTCTAATCTATCCATTTCCATTTTCCTGCTTCACAAACTGTTCTTATATTCCACGTTGCTATTCGTTTTAAATCGCTTACACTAAATTTGTTTTCCCGCCGGGTTTTCTTCGCACCCCTGTCCCATTAAAGGGACGTCGGGCACTCGGGGCCACTGTTTGATTTACGTCCATTTGTGGTTGTTCTTGAGAAATCCTTAGGGATTTCCTTAATTATACATAATAATATACAAAAAAAGTAAACAAACCTGCCGTTCTCTTTGACACCCAACTTTTTGGTGCTTAATTTAGTAAAGCGCAGGCAAAATCGAAGGGTAGTTTCCTTATCTGTTTATAGTTTAGGCGGTGGTTTATGAGCGGTGTATTTGCTTGTATAATATGTCGCCTCCTCCTCACTCTCATTACCCGAATCAGCTCAACTAGAAAGAAGCTCTTCTTTTGATTTTTTTTTCAAAAAAATCTTGATTCTAGATTTTATGGTTTGTCTTCTTAAGGATTCCCCAAACCGACGCGAAACTTTCGCAGCGGAATCGCGGCGAATCGTAAGGCACAGCGACTTAATGCATGTGTTCAGACAAGTTCGGACGGAAACCGGAACGGTCGCGGCAGAACAGCGTTGACGTTTCATGAAACGCTGCATGCACGGTTTTTTCCGCTGCAGTTATAGCAAGTTATAGTTTCGCGTGAATTATTAAAATGGCTGTTACAGAAAAACTAATTGAAATTGTGAAACAATATCCTATAATTTATGATTTAAGTGACGAAGATTATAAAAATATAAGAAAAAAGTATAAAGTCTGGGATAATATAGGGTCATTTCTAGGAGAAAATGGTAAGTTTTCATTATATATTATATATAATGAATTTAATAGTGCTCCGCCTGCGAATGTTCCGCAACGGTTTCGCGTCGCAAAAGTTTCGCGTCGGTGTGGGGAATCCTTTACATGATAATCTTGGGCTGCTTTATATTGACTTAAATGACCTGTCAAAATGGCTTGGATTGCGAGTTTCATGTTATTTTTATTAATGTCATGGCGATCAGTCTTTCTTATGTAATTCATACATAATCTTATGTATTAAATTAAATTCAAATACTCGGTACCGTTTAGAAGTTATGTTTTTCCGTCAGTATAAAAAGTAAATAATTTATTATCAATGGCACTGTGATTGAAATTTCAATTTCAACAATAAACTAAGCAATATAAACATATAAAATTAAAATAGAAAAAATACCTTATTTAAGGTTAATACCTAAAAGACCTTAGAAGCACCAAATATTATGGTTCAAGAAACTCTCTCAAGAAACCAAAATCTACAACTTTGGGCGGTAAATTCAAATGTAATTCGGATTTATTGCTAATAGGCGAATGTACCCTATGGCCGAATGTGGACCACTCTCCCCTACGTTAATCGGAAGTGAATCTCAGTCCTCAAGTAGATTAAGAATATGTCCATACTATGACCTATTAACCCTGAAAATGATATATCATTACATCACTAGTGGCATAGTATATCAACACTAGTCGCGACAGTTTACACTTCTTGATAATTGTTTTTATCTGAACTTTTCGCCTTTTCTACCTTCATTCTCAGAGGCCCAAAAAGCTGTTAATAATTTTCTTAATAATAACTTACGTATTTGTTGATGTATAATTTTTAAATTGGACACCTACTAATGCTAAGAAGTTGCAGAATAAGCCAAAATAAGTAAAAAATAAACAGAGTGTTACCTGACAATATAAAACGAAACGTACTGACTCGCTTACTTGAAAATCTCTTTAGCATAATTTTTATATATATTTTATTGTTGCAGGGCGTTAGCAAGTAGAATTTATAGTAATCATCATATCTTGACAACCCCTGCATTGTTTTTATCGACAAGATGTGATAGAATAAATATTAGTAACGTAATTACTCAGCTCAATAATGAACTATTAGTGAATTTAGATTGTTTAAGACTTTTATACAGTAAAAATATACATTCCTAATCACATCCAGCGAAGGGCAGTGTTTGTGAGTGTATACCAAAATATATTATTTTAATTGTAATTGTAAATTTTTGCAGATACTGCCCTATTGATATATTTCAAAATTCTCAGTAATTTAGGAATGACTGGGCATGCTTTTATTTTTATTAATTAATGTATATTTTAGTAATATTTATATTGTAAATATAGTAGTATATATGTACTTATAAATTGTTAATATTATTATGTGAGATATTATTAAATGGAATCCTTATCCTTTAACATTATTATACGAAATTATTGACGATGATATATTTTCACGTATGTTGTGCAAGTCATAATAATGCTCTCCTCCATTATATAGTTTGTGTGCCAACGCTTAATTCATTAATTTTAGAAAATCCATAAAAAAATTAAAGAATAGAACACGAAAACTGGGAATACTGAAAGATGAAAATGAGAAACAGAATATATCAATGAACTGTTCAAAGACAATAGAACAGAGCAAATGGAGATAGAAGTAAAAGAGGATATGGTTTTAAAGATATTAAAAGAAGAAATTAAAATGGCATTAAAAAACAGCAAAAATGGTAAAGCATTAGGTCCAGACCAAAGCCCTATAGAAATCTTAAAATGCATAAATGATGAAACCTTAGACATTATAGTAGACTTATTTAACTCAGTATACAAAACAGGACATACCGAAACAATGGTTACTCTCCACCTTTCGTGCTATCACTCAAAATACAAACGCTAAATATAGCAGTCAATACAGAACAATATCACTAATAAGTCACATTCTCAAATTATTCTTGAAAATAATACATGGTCGTATAAATAAAAAACTGGAAGACGGAATAGATGATATTCAGTTTGGGTTCAGAAACGGACTAGGAACCAGAGAAGCGTTATTTGCTTTTAATGTGTTAGCTCAAAGATGCATGGATATGAATGTTGATGTACATGTTTGTTACGTTGATTTTGAAAAAGCATTTGACAAAGTAAGACATGAAAAATTAGTCCAAATTCTAAAGACAAAAAACATAGACCAAATAACTTACGTTACGAATAATAACAAACTTCTACTGAAATCATAGAGCACAAGTCGTAATAGATAACGAACCCAGTCCAGAAATTGAAATCAGGAGAGGAGTTAGGCAGGTATGTATTATGTCCCCATTACTACTTAATATATATAGTGAAGCCATTTTTGAAGAAGCATTATATCTCAAAGTGAAGGAATAATAATTAACGGAAGATCTATTAACAACATAAGATATGCAGATGATACCGTGATTATGGCAAGCTCTGTTGAACAAACTCCAATTACTGCTAAACAACACAAACAGTTTCTGTGAAAAATATGGACTAAAAATGAATATAAAAAAGACCAAATACATGATAATAACAACACAAAATATACCAACAAACACACATTTGGGAAATGTAGCGATAGAAAGGGTTGATAAAAACAAATACCTAGGAACCTGGATTTCAGACAATAATGATCAAACAACCGAAATAAGAGCCAGGATAGAAATAGCAAGAAATGCGTTTGTAAAAATGAAAACAATTCTCTGCAACAAAGACCTTCGATTAGAACTGAGAGTAAGAGCACTGAGATGCTACGTGTTTTCGATACTGCAATATGGACTTGAAACCTGGACATTGAAGCAAGAACGTAATGAGGGAAGTGTTCGAGTTGCCGCATTTTTCTGATAAAAATGTAACAAAGAGTTGTCTAGCATGAGATCGTAAAAGATGTCAACTGAAACATATTATTCACAAAGATATCTGATATGGACCATTGGTGAATTATCAACCGATCTTATTAAATTAGGATCTAGTGTTCGTGTTGCCACTTTTTTTTTAATAAAATGTAACAAAAAGTTGTCTAGCCTTAAATTGTAAAAAGACGTCTACTAAAACATATTATTCACAAAGATATCTGATATGGACCACTGGCGAATTCTGAACCAATCTTATTAAAATAGGAACTGGTGTTCGTGTTGTCACTTTTTTAATAAAATGTAACAAAAAACTTGTCTAGCCTCAGATTGTAAAAAACGTCTAAAAGGTAGGATCTAGTGTTCGTGTTGTCACCTTTTTATCTAATAAAAATGTAAAAAAGTTGTCTAGCATCAGATCGTAAAAGACGTCTACTGAAACATAGTATTCACAAAAGATATCTGATATGGATTACTGGTGAATTATGAACCGATCTTATTAAATTAGGATCTAGTGTTCGTGTTGCCACTTTTTTTTAATAAAATGTAACAAAAAGTTATCTAGCCTTAAATTGTAAAAAGACGTCTACTAAAACATATTATTCACAAAGATATCTGATATGGACCACTGGCGAATTATGAAGCGATCTTATTAAATTAGGATTTAGTGTTCGTGTTGACATCTTTTTAATAAAATGTAACAAAGTTGTCTAGCATCAGATCGTAAGAAACATCTACTGAAACTTATTATTCACAAAGATATCTGATATGGAGCATTGGCCAATTATAAACCGATCTTATTACATTAGGATCTAGTGTTCGTGTTGCCACCTAAAATAATAAGAAAATCGATCGACAAATCTTAATGGTCTTCTTTCCGGAGTTAATTTTTAAGTATGTTTTTAATGGCCAGTTACCCAACAGGAGTTTAGTTTTCAGTTTAAGTATCTTATAATGGAGTTAATAAAAATGTTTGTTCAAGTGTGTGATGGAAAAAAGACAATCATTTCGCTTTCATACTGACTGTTTGTCCCATACTAACAAAACCTCTCCCGGCGGTCGTGTAACCGTACCGACTAGCGGTGGATGCTGTTAAGAACAAAATTTGTTCGAACCAAATTGGTTACGTTTGTTGTTAATATATGTTTTTTTATAATATATTTACTCAATTTCATTCCTTCGCTTGCCTACCATTTTAATATTATTTTCTCTGTCAGCAGCACCTTTTCCGTACTGACTGCTGATAAGACTGCATTTTGTTCAAACTGTCCTTTTAATTTTATTCTGTATATTATATACTCTGGATTTTTTTAAATAATTAACTTATGATCGTAGATAAAATATAGTATGCAACTCGCAAGAGTTTGGTCACTATTCTTTAATAATTGATCATAACGATACATTATACACATTTCAACGTTGAATATTTGATGGCCCCTTTATAGTATAAACGGTGGTCCACTTTTGCCGAACAGAAACACGCCAGGTACCACATTGTGGGAGTAGTACTGTAAACTTAGGGTGTCTGTCAAACTCGCTTACAAACCGGGCTGTCACTTATTGAGTTGAGTTCGTAAAGTATTCTCTGTATGTTTTAATATGCATCGGGGTATTGTTGTCTGATGGTTATCGAAGAATTGTCTGTGATCATATTCCCACTAGCACTGTAACATGAATTGTGTTTTATCACCTTACCTTGTATATATCAGCATCTAAATATACAAAGGAGACAACGAACGAATAGAAGAAAATATTGTTTATCTAATTTGGGCAGTGGGGCACTTTGATGATTAGCGACAAGATCTGTGTCTAGCCGTGGATAATAATAATAAAATACCTATATAAAGCATTGGAGGAAACAATCGTAGACCTATGTAGAGTACTGGGAGAAAAAATCTGTGTCGAGCACTAGACGAAAGAACGAAAGCTTATATGTAGCAGTGTATAAAATATTGGTTCTCTGTCAACCAGTGGACGTTCAATTAGTGAATAGAAGAAGGTAACATGAGATGAAAAACAGATTAGCTAAAGAAAAGAAGAAGACGAAAGAAAGGAAAAGAAAAAATGATTCGACTTGTCAGTAAGCGTGATGTCACCCGAACACCTGAGCAGGTGCAAACATCAAAGGATGCCGCTTTTTCCCACGGTCGGTAAAATTTTACCAGCCCCAAGTGCCGCAACATCTACTAATACACAATAATATGTTTCATTTAATTTGTATAAATGCATTATAAAGCGTTTTTATGAAGAACATTTGTTCGGAACACACGGTAACTGTAATTGAACGAAAGTGAAATTTTGGCATACATTGGTAACACTTATTTGACAGTTGCGGTGTTGACACTTTTTGTACTTTATTATTTTGAATTTTAAAGTGAATACCTCTTGTTTTATATTTTTACCTATTTAATAAAATCTGTTCTTTAACAAAATCAGTGTGTTTTATTTCAAAAATGTCACGTAAGAATTTAAATAGTCGTTGTAAAGAGATGGTAATACTTTTGCAATAATTATGTGATCTATTTGATTTAAAATGGAGTCAGGATTTTTTTATACTTTGGCAACTATGTCAACTTCGATCTCTGACGTAGATAATGACGTGCATCGGTATGTAAATTAGATGAAGTATATGTAACCGTTGGATGTAAGTGCTCTTCTCAAGGAAGATGGCTTTATGCAAAAGGGACCTCCAAAATCTATTTCGGTGTTTTCGAAAGGTCTTTTTGGTGTGACTCATTCACGAGGGAGAAGAACCATGATTTGGTTTGAGCCGATGGCATTAAACCTAAAGCAAGAGTTTTATACACCTATATTCATCAAGAGGCCAATATCTTGAGCGGACATTGTTCAAGGTGGTTCGAGATACTGCATGTCCCAGACGCTGGTGCTCTGGGATGAGCAACAGTGTAGTGAAGTGATTATGTGCAAGGACAGGTCCACACAAATTTGTCCCTGGAAGAGGCCAATGAGAACAAATCCTTAATCTTAGACAAATTATAGACAAATCTAGAGAATTTGTGAAATCTAGAAACATATTTGTACTTCGTCGATTACTCGAAAGCGTTCGGATAATATAGAGTGGTATAAAATGTGGGGAATGCTGAGAGAAATGGGTACCCCCGAACATCTAATACTCCTTAGTGAAACAACTTTATGTCAACAACACAACAAACGTAAGAGTCAACTACATATACTCCGATAATTTTAAACTAAAAGCCGGTGTTCGTGAAGGATATATTATCTCTCCCACGTTATTCTATATATATATATATATATATATATATATATATATATATATATTTACATCTGGGCACAAATTTGCGTCCGTTCAGAAAGCAAACATATTACGTCCCCCATAAGCAATGATCCTAGAAAAAAACTAACAAAGTATACTATTTCTATAGAAAATTTAGTAATGTATACTTTTATTTTTCTTATTATTATTTTGAAAAAAAAATGTATTCAAATTTTTTATTTTCAGATTATTTTGCTTCTTTTTATATTACTATCTAATATGAGTCCCCTTATATA